CCAAAAAGGTTATATGGGAAAATGAGCAGTCTGATAGAAAAGACTGTATGTGTTACAGAAATAATTTCTAGTATTTTTAACTCCTGGTGAAAAAAGTAACACACACACACACAAATGATAGATAAATCAGAAATGGTTCAAAGTATAACTGGCAACAGAAACAGGATTTTAACAATCTAACTGGGTTGATTTCCCATGTCCCACTGCATGGCTGAGTACAAGTGTGGAAGAAGGGAGAAACAGGGGTAGGCAAGGGAAGAAAGTAAACACATTCCCCCAACTCCGTTTTAAGGCTGGGAGGGTCAATCTGTAAGGGCGTGTCCACTTAAGGGATAGATGTAAGTACTTACTACTTCCTCAGGTCCTCATGCCCAGGCCTTTCCACCAGCTCCCATTATAAAGTGCATCTAGAGCATCCTCGGAGTGACCCATGTCCCTCTCTGAGCCTCAGTGTCCCCTTCATGGGAAGGAGTCATACTAGATAACCTCCGGATCTGACCTCCCATCCCACCCTGACCTGGCAAGTCCCCTGGCCTCCAACTCCTTAGCCAGGGCTTGTCCTGGGATGGGCCAGCCACCCGCACTCACTGTCCTGGCAGCTGCACCAAGGGGAGGGACTTCTTCGCGATCCTGGCCTTTGGGACCCAGGTCGGAAGCTCCGGCAGCTGGGGCAGCTGGGGCAGCGGGCAGTGTGGGAGCCGGCGGCAGCCCTGGGCACACCCGAGCCCCTGGCCCAGCCGGGCCTCGTTGGTGGGCTGGCCACGGCGGCAGCGCAGGACCAGCGGGGCAGGCAGGGCAAGTGGCCGCGAGCTCCCACACTCACCGCTCCTGGGGTGAGCAGGACCCGCAGCCAGGAGCCCAGTGACGTTCGGCCCGGCCTGGGCAGCGTCTCCCTAGGCTGCGGCCCTGCCTGCCCGATGCGCACCAGTTAGTTGCTAGGGATCCCAGTTCCAGAGCAAGGGGCCCAGTGTTAGGGTTCCAGGCCATGACGGTGCTTGGACAGCTAGGATATCAGAGGCCACCGGGACTCTTCAACCAGTACTAGAGTGCCTCCGCCTTCAGGTCACTGCTGCTGGGGATGAGAGACAAGGTTGGGGAGAGAGCTGAATCAAAGCTGGGTGAACAATCATCAGTGGGGGCCCAATGGCAAACAGCACCAGGCAGCATGTATAGGGTGCAGAGGGCAGTTGGACAAGCTTGGTATCATTCAATTATCTGGTTATTTGCACAACAGCTTGTATCAAAGACTTGTTTTTCACATTCAAAATAACCAGGCTTTCCAGAGTACTGATGAGCTGTACCTTTCAAATATTAGCCAGTTAATGCCTGACTGCCCTAATTTTTGGTAAATGACAAGGACGAGTTCCCTCACCAATCTGCCCAAATTCCATGTTCTGACTCCTCTGTTTTGGTTACTCTGTCAAAGGTTAGGCATGTGTGCCCTCTCTGGCTTAGACACCTAGCACCTGTCTTGCACAGTGGGATCTTAGTATCTGTACTCTTGCCAGATTAAGATAGATACAACCTCTGCCTTTATGACTTGATTCCCCACTAGAGCTGCAAGTTTATCCTTGGTAATACGGTTTCAGATCCCACAAACACTCCTGAAACTGCTCTCAACACGATTTTCTCCGTTCTTATTAAGCTCTACACTAACCTTTCCTAGCTCCTTCGGTTATTTTTTTAACACTCAAATTAGGCCTTAAATCATTAACAGTGGCCCCACTACTTAGTTGTGTGATCCTGGGTAAGGGAAAGTTAACCCACCTAATGGGGGACTAGGCTGCATATTAAAGATCACATGGAGTACTTAATTAGTGGAGAAATACTAACCTAGGGTTATGTGGATTAAGTGACACATTGGCACTCAGCAAGTGATCAAGTGTTTATTAAACGGTCTCCTCTTTAGTTTTGCTATCACACCTCTACCTGACACTTCCCAAACTCCATGCCATTTCTCAAACTGTTCCATCAGGTGACCAAATTCTACCTCCTTTGTGAAACTTTCCAATCTTTACAGCATGAAACATCTCCTGTACTTTATTACAAATTATTCCTACAAAACGCAATTTGAGCCCTCCAAAGTAAATTATACAGATCTATATCCACAAATCCACTCTACCCCATTCCTCCTTTCACCATTCCCCATCACCAAATACTCAAGGACTACAATATGCCAGTTATTGAAGTCTCAAGATTTTAAATGGCTATTTTCCTGATGAGGTTAGAGTCCCTCTAAAAAGTGAAGTGCCTACAATGCACCAGGCATTGTTCTAAGTGCTAGAATACAGAAACCTGACTCAAATCTTACATTGGATAATGGCTAGAGAGAAGCAAATCAAGTTTCAGATACTTAGAATGGCCCTCCCAACTTCCATGCCCTAATTACAGGAACCTGTAAATATGTTACTTTATGTAGCAACAAAACGGACTTTCTAGATGTGTGCTTAAATTAAGGATTTTGAGATGGGGAGAGTATCCTGAATTATTCAAGTAGCCCAACGTAACTACAAAGCTTTTTATATTAAGAGGGAGGCAGGAAGATCAAAGATGATGGAAGCAGAGATGCCACAAACCACGAAATGCAAGGGTCTCCTAGAACTGAAAAAGGCAAAGTTTTCTCTAGAGTCCTCAAAAGAAACACAGGGCTGCTGACCCCTTAATTTGGCTGTGAAACCTGCTTTAGATTTCTGACCTCCAGAAAAGTTAAAACAATAAATTAAGTCACTTAAGTTTATGGTGATGTTACAGCAGCAAAAGAAAATTCATACATTCACTTAACACTTGAGTGCCTACTACATATCAGCAAATGGGCAGAAATAAAAAGGCCTGGCCTTAAAGTCTGTTACCTGGCAGAAGGGATGCACATGTATGAGGGGAATGTTTTGGCTCTTTGACACCAAATCTGTAAGGAAAAACAGTGGTAGCAGAAAGCTGTCAATCTTCCCATGGAGGTGGGCCACAAAGACATCAGACACCCCAAGAGGCTCTATCATATCCTAAACACCCCCAGAGCACTCATTTTACTATGTTGCCTGTCTTCCCATTAGACTGACACCTGAAAGCAGAGGGTATTTTCTGTAATTCACTGTTCTGTGCCCATACTAAGTGCTAAAGCTATACTGCACAGCAGCATTGAACACTTTTGAGCTAGGCACTGCTCTAAGCATTTTACATGGCCTGTATGTAACATTTAATCTTCATTAAAATCATATGAAATTAGGCACAATTATCTCCATTTTGCTGATATGGAAACTGAGACAGAGATTTATTGGTCCAGGCTAACAAGTAAGTGGAGACTGGATATGAACCCAAGCAGTCTGGCTTTGAAGCGAGCACTCTTAATCCAGCCACCACAAATGAACTTCACAGAAATTACCAGGTTAACACTGGCTAAAGGCCAGTGAGTCTAAGACAACTTCATAAAAACTGAGCTCCCAGGGGACAATCCACTAGAGAAAGCCAGACCTTGGATAAACCGGAAATAAACATATATGAGGTGAAATCTTGGAGAACCTACTGTGTGCCCAGACCCCGAAGGTTGGTTAGGCCTTGAAAGCAATGACATTTAGAAGAGGTAAGTTTCCCAATCAGGTGATAACCTGCATTTGAATAGATTCTACCAGCTCACAAACATTTTCATGCCTATTACTGTTCCTCAAAATCCTCTCATAAAAGCAGATTGGTTATCCCACTTTACTCCCTAGGAAACTGATAGCTAAAGTCGTTACCCGACAGCAATGCTTTAAATTTTTTCTATTCGTAGCATCAAGCTGCGTTGGTCCCTCAAATCCCCTGCTTCAGAGTTCTTTATGGGAATCGCGGTTCTCTGCAACCCCTCCCACATTTCCCCATCCACTCTGGCCATAGGCCACACTTAAGAGAGTGATTTAAATGAAAAAGGGGGTTGAATCCTCCAGGACTCAAAGCAGACAAGGTGTGCATACAGGATAGTCAATGCTTTGCCCATTTTATTTCAGGTATTCCTAAATCTAATCACCCCCGGACCAGAGGAAAGAGCTTTCCTACTTTGGGTGGTAATTCATCAATGCAGGTTCATTGACTGAAACAAATGTACCACTGTAGTGGTAGGGAGTCAACAGTGGAGGTTGTACCTGTCGACTCCTGTACCTGTATACGGGAATTCTACTTTCCGCTCACTTTTACTATGAAATAAAAACTGCTCTAAAATATAAAGGCCATTAGTCTTTTTTAAAAAAGCTTTGCCTAAGTATCACTTTTTATATAAAGTGCTACTTATTCCCTTCCCAATGAAGACTTTCTACATTTCATGCACCCACCCACCTGCACCCAGGTTAAGTATGCAATATGCCATGTGTGCAACTTCATTCTAATGAAATTTCATTAGTCTTAATTCTGACCCTGAAGAGGCCACTGATGGCCCTCATTATTCCTCTAAAACCTGGAAGCCAAACAGGTTCTATCTAACATCTGGGGTACAACCGCCCTTCAGGACACTGGATGTGCAAACACTGGGAACTGTACTCTTTACCAACACAGTAAAACAAAACTGAATTTTAAAACTTAAAAAAAAAAATTCGCTGGGGGCAGTGGGCCATGCCTTAATCCTGACTATTCATGGAGCTGACGCAGCAGGATTGCTTGAAACCATGAATTCAGTACCATGCTGGGAAACAGGCTGGTGTGGGACCTCATCTCTATAAACAAAAAAAACAACTCTTTGGTTCTACCCGGAGATTACCCTAAGACAAAAAATACCTGGCAAAACATTGATACTCATATATATGTAAAAGGATTTTTATAAACTATAAACTTGATTTCTCTCCAAAGTTCACTGATCCTAAACAAACTTACTAATCCAGAGAATTAGTTCCCAAAACCAGGAATAAAGAACTCAAAGAAATTCTATTTGTCTAGCAACTTGTGAATATTAAAAAGCAATAAATGATTGTGGTGCAGTAGTAGCAAAATAATCACCAAAGGACAGCTTTCACAATGCATCAGACCCTTGACACAAGTGAGGACCACAAACATTTTTACTTTCATTGTATGTACTTCATGTTACACTCTACATTGTTCACTAGTCTGAGATGATACATGACATACAGAGGAATGTTATTTATAAAATACCCAAAACCTTTCAAGTTTTTGCTCAATAATTTCACCATGTGCTCAGAAATAATTTACATCCCTAGGCACAAATTTCATTTCTTCCTTCACAATAACCATAATATGAAACAATTATTAGTATCTAGTATCTAAGTATTGCAAAAGATGCAAAAGAACACAAAAATGGAATGCAAGAGGAAAACAACCCATTTACATGGTAGTTTATAAACAAGCTAAGGCCTGAGAAAATGAATTTTAGAACTAAACTCAATTTTTTCCATAAACCAGTTATATTATCTTACCTACAAATCATGCATAAATACTTGTGAAACAGGCTTAGAATAAACCCATTTTGAATCACTCAGCACAGTTCAAAGACAAAAAGCTAAGATCTTTTGTAGAGAAAAGCCTTTTTTAAAATTTTTAATTTTTTTGCAGGGCTACCCCATAGGCTGTACGCCCTGAGTAGCTGAGAAAAGCCTTTTAAAAACCCAAGAGATGTCCTTCACACAATCTAAACTCTGATTTTGCATGTAATGGGCTATTGATTTGGCTCAATTTTATCACACACAGGACTTGCCACCATAGTGAAGGGAAGACAAAGGCTAACAACAAAAGAAATCACAAATACAACAATACATTTCAATTGAGAGCAGATACTGTTTATTAACTGACCAGCTTAGAAAAATAATCATGGAAGACACCTGAAAGGAAAAACAAAACCATTAAAAATCACTAAAATCACTTTAGGCAGCTAACAATTAACATAAACCAGACAGTTACAATTTCTGAAATCACCCAATTTCCATTTTTAAGACTCCCAAAACTGGGCTTTCCTTTCCTCCAGAAATGTCCTCAAAAGCAGTAAACAGACCAACTGTAATTGCTAAGATAGTTGATCCCTGCCCCCCCAACAAAAGCATTGATTAAAATTCAATCAACCCCCCATCAGTATTTAATGGAGAAAGTATTCAAGATTGCCACCACTTTTACTCTAGAGTTACTCAATCTTTCTTGGGATGTAGTCTCTCACCTTAGTTCATTCTTCTAATAAGCCTGTTGATCTGATCCTCCCTGTTGCCTGCATCTCCACCTTCTACAAAATGGGTGGTCTTTTTCTTCATTCCGCCCCGTGGGGAAGATAATTTAAAGGGCCACAGGAAGTTATTTGCTTCTTTGAAGCGTTTTCCAACAGTATAGATCTCATGAATCAGATCCTCCATGCAGATGATGCCATATTTTCCTAAATATTTTAAGGTTATTGAAGTTGCAAAAAGTTTCGAAATTATTATTAGACATTAGGGAACAGGACAAGACCAAATGTAGGCTGTGAGATAAAAACGTACCATGAGTTAACAAGGTAAATCTATGGCTTTATAGAGATTAAGGTTCAAGCTAATGAAACCATGCCTTATGTTTTCTTTAAGCTTAATCAAGAATCACAGGGAGTATGTGAAGATTCACAATAGTGAGAAATGTATGGCCACAAGAGGACAGGAAGTTATTGCATGGTCTAATATCAAACTTTCCAACAAACAGAACCTACCAAGAGATCGAGCAATCAGAGCGTTATCTGTCAAAGCAATTCGCTTCTTTTTGATCTTGCCATAACCACGTTTGTAGATTAGTTCATTTACTGACTTCAGATTTGGGTACCTGAAATGAAAAGGGAAACATAAATAAGGTTACCACTGTTAAAACATCTAAAATTCAGGATGTTATGTAGCCAATTTAGACTTACCCCCATGCAATATATGGCTCTACAATCCTCAGCATGTTAATTGAAGCCTTGTTGAGCTTCACAAAGGTTCCATTGAAGATTTGACGAAGGCGAAGAAGCTGCAACACCTTTCGGACCTTTGGGCTCACACCATTGATACTGTGGTGAAAAGGGACGAAAAAATACATTTGACTTTCATTGAAAAAAAAAAAAAAAAAAAAAAAATTTTTTTTTTTTTTTTTTTTTTTGAGACGAAGTCTTACTCTGTTGTCCAAGCTGGAGTGCAGTGGCCTTATCTTGGCTCACTGCAACCTCCACCTCCTGGGTTCAAGCCATTCTGCCTCAGCCTCCCGAGAAGCTGGGACTACAGGCAAGTGCTACCATGCCTGGCTAATTTTTTTATTTAGTAGAGACAGGGTTTCACTACGTTGGCCAGACTGGTCTTGACTCCTGACCTCGTGATCTACCCACCTCGGCCTCCCAAAAGTGCTGGGATCATTATAGCCATGAGCCACCGCACCCGGCCTCGAAATTTTTATTAATATTAACCATTATAGTTTTGAACATCAAGTCCTACCTAAACAGATAGGAATCCTCTCACTGAACTTCTGTATTCCACTAAAAGACTAAGAGAAGGGAGAGGAGCTTGGGGAACATGGCTTGCAACTAAACCATTTGATCACCACCTTCCTTGCTCTAGCTTCCCCCAAAATAGTTATACTTCAGTGTTTCAGAATCGGGGCTCTCAGAAATAACATGAAGTTTTTTTGTTTTGTTTTTTACCAGTGCTAACTCTCCCTTTCAAACCCAAATGAAGTAAAACTGAACTTACCCTCTGATCCTGATGACAAATGCCAGTTTGGGTTCTGCAGGTACATAGAAGTTGCCAGCTTTCCTTGCCATCCTCGCCATTCGAATTTCAGTTCTGTACATCTGCCTATATTCCTTGTGATAATGCTTCGCTTTTTCATAGATAAGCTTCCGCCTTGCCTTTCGAAGCTGAAAACCAATCACCAGTTATTCATGATTTTTAGTTCCCAAGCACAATAGCAATGCTAGTTATTAAAAACTAAAACACTTTTCCTTTAAATCTTTTCTTGCCATAGTATGCAATTACTAAAACCCACTACCTTTATTTAAGATTGTCACATTAGGGAGCTAAGCAATTACTCGGTACATGAGGAAACCTTGCCAAGAACATTCACCTCATTCTTAATCCCAACAAGGCATCTCCTTACATCCTAGTGCTTCAAAGAGTTTACTTACCATCTTTTGGGCAAACTTCTTTCTCAAGCGCTTGATCTTCAGCTCTGCGAAATTCCTTCGCTTTTTCTTAAGGGTTTCCGGCACAGCAGGAACCTTCTTCTTCTTCTCTCTAACGTTAACCAACGACAAATATTATCAACAGCTCAAAAAGTTCACAGCGCTGTATTACACCCGAACTGTGTACTGTCTGTTGTCAACAGAAATCCTTCACTGGCTTTAGCCACTCCTAACTTTACTTGCTCTAGCTTGCTACAGTGTACGATGCGCATTTTAACTTCATGTCAATAACCTTTAACACCAACCACATTGCCTAAAATGCAATCCCAAGTACGATAACAGCAATACGCTTTTACCCATTCCAGCCAACAGGTCCGGCCTGCGACGACTAATTAAAAAAAAAAAAAAAAACACCAACAGCCTCATAACAAAACGTACCAGCTGAAAGTCTGCGGCAAGGCACTGACCCCCACACTTAAGGCTTAAAAAAAAAAACCACCGCCACCTTGGTTCAAGTCTCGGGATCCACATGTTGAAAGCAAAGGCCTGTAGGCATGGAGGCCCAGGCCAACCACCAGCCAAGTACAAACCCAATTCAGAAGTTCTGCGCCTCCCCGAAATGCCCTCTACCGAGGACTGGGCTGTCAGCCAACCGACGGATTCCACACACACTGCACCCCGACATCTTGTTCCCGGAATCTCCAAAACCTCCGTCCTAAGGCCGCCTGCATCCCAACCCTAGCCTCAGGTCCCCACTGGTGTCACAAAACGTCACAAACAAACACGGAGGTGGGCAAAGGTGCCACCTACAACCAGAAAGAGAAAAACTGACACAAAAAGAATCCGGCTCTGAAGATGGAGAAGGATTCTCGAAAGAACAAGAAGGAACTTACTCTACACCCTCCATGGTTCCAGCCGGAAAAAGAGGAAGTCGGCGCATGCGCACTGTCCACTTAAAGACTGAGAAAGAAGCCCCGCGACTCACAGGTGTCTTAGGAAACGCCGGAAAAGAATCCAGAACTAAAAAGCCGCCTAGCAGACGCCAAATTAAGAACGCCCTGATTTAGCCTCTTCCAACCAACTTTCGGGTAAAACTTGTTTGAAGAAAATATATGCATTTGATTACACTTTTTAATCAACTCAAGAGCAAAGAGTGCTGACACCTTGGCGACTCGGGGTCCTAATCCCCAGGCTGCGCTGACAGAATAAGGCTCGGGTTTCTCCTCTTAATGTTCCCAAGACGAGCTTCACGAGGGCGAACTACAGATCCCAGCATACACCATTCCTCGCCCTCCCGGCCGGACGGCAACGCCAGACCGGGACCGCAGGCAAGCACCGCGGCAGCGGTTCCAGCCAGGAAAATGAGAGCCTTTTGGGCCATGTTCCAAACGGCTAGCTGCAATTCGAAGTCACTTTTGGCCGCCCTCCCGTTCCTTGCCGCGGTAGTCGCAGACTACACCCCCTTCGCCGCGCCGCGAGGTCCTTGTCGCTCCAGCCCTTAGGGCTGTCTTCGCGGCGCCTGATCGCAGGCGGGGCAGTCCGGAGTGCCCTGGTTAACGAAAAGTGGCGATCCAGGGACCAGCGGGGACCGCACGGCTGGAGGAGGATGGCCGGGGCTCTGCTGACCGCCGAGATGGGCAGGCGGAGGCCGGGACACCTCACGGGAGGGGGCGTGAGCTGCGAAGGGAGGTGCGAGGAGGGCTGAGGTTGTGGCCACGGTCGTGTGAGAAGGGCTACCCCGCTCCGCTCCGCGAACCGCTGGCGGGCGGGGGGCTGGGCCGGGGGCGGGGTGCGCCCGGGGGCGGGGAGGCCGGGCGGAGGGAGGGCCGATGCCGAGGCTGCCGCGGGCTCTTCCCGGTCGTGGGTTATATAGCGCGGAGCGTGGAGCCAGCTCAGAGCCGGCCCGGAGCGCTCCGACTTGCAAGCGGCACTGCGCTGCGGAGCGGGTTGCCCGAGTGACAGCCGCTGGGAGTGCAGGGGGACGCGAGCCCTCGGGGGCAGCTGCAGGGCGTTGGGCAGCGCTCGCTTGCGCCGATCGAGTCTTCCCTTCCCGGCGCTCCGCCGCCCCGCACCCCCACTCTCCCACCCTCTCGCAACTTGGGTCGAGTTGACAACTCCCGCGGCGGCCCGCTGGCCCGTGCCACCTCCGCTGCGCACCCCTCCCCCGGGGTGAGAGGGAGCCGGCGCGCGGGCTCCGGGGACTGTCGGGCGGCAGCGGCTTGGCCATGAGGGCAGCGCGCGTAGCTTGACTCGCGGCTGTCACTGCCACTGCAGCGGAGCCGGCCGGCCGAGCGCTGCGGGACGGTCGGGCGGCTGCCGGCAGGAGGCGCCGAGCCGGGTGACTGCCGCGGCGGGCACAGTCCGGGGCCACCGCGCCGAACCCGGGCAGGAGTGGCCCCGCGCAGACAGGGAGCGGCGCCGCGCACTCCAGCCCGGCGGGCACCTCGGAGGCGGGGCGGGGCGCAACCTTCTAATCCCGGCCTCTGTGACAAGCGCCCAGGGGCCGGGAGCCCGACTGCGGGGCTCGGGGTGGGCGCAGACTCAGGCACTGGGCTCGTGCGGGGCCCCAGGCGTCGCGATGAACATCGTGGTGGAGTTCTTCGTGGTCACTTTCAAAGTGCTCTGGGCGTTCGTGCTGGCAGCAGCGCGCTGGCTGGTGCGGCCCAAGGAGAAGAGCGTGGCGGGCCAGGTGTGTCTCATCACCGGCGCCGGCAGCGGCCTGGGCCGCCTCTTCGCTCTGGAGTTCGCCCGGCGCCGGGCGCTGTTGGTGCTCTGGGACATCAACACGCAGAGCAACGAGGAGACGGCGGGCATGGTGCGCCACATCTACCGCGACCTGGAGGCGGCCGACGCCGCCGCGCTGCAAGGTAACCCGGACCCGCGCGGGAGCATTGTTGGGTCAAGCCTCTCCCCACCCCGCGCCCTACTACGGCAGGCCCCAATCCCCGCTATCGAGGAAAGGAAACACCCCACCGGTCTTCTGGGAGATGGGTGGAATTTGCCCCTTGATAAAGGAACGCTATCTCCTCTGTATTAGCAGGGGGAAGGTGCCCAGTCCTCCCGGAGGTCAGGTCTCTTAGTGGACCATTGGGGGATTTCCTAAGCCCTTTGACGGTAGGGAAGGCGGAAGGAACTTGGTACCCCAGGGTTGGATCCCAGAGAAACGTCTCGCTCCGACTTAACAAGGGGCGCGATGGGAAACTAAAGTGTCTCTGGGAAGTTCTGACTCGACTGAAGAAACGTCTGTTACTGTGGACTGAACTCCTTAGACGAGGGCAGTATTGATGGTTTCATTATAACTTTGGCCCGAGGAACAACAGAATTACATTGTTTCGCCAGCGATAAGTGCTTTAGTTACACTCCCTGAGCGGGATGGAAAAACGCCTTGCTTCCTAAGAGAAAGCGCTTGGAGGATTTAGGGTTCGTTGTAAATTTCTTTCATGTTTTTGGTCACCCCAGGAAATCTGCATTTCTGTATACTTGTTAACTAACCTGAGCTCGAGTTTTTTTTTTTTTTAAGCCAAAGCAAAGCCCATAACCAATCATAAGTATTGGTATGGGAAATTTGATAATGGCTTTTGCTTTTTAACAGAATTTTTCATTTTTAGGGAAAACATTTACCTGTACAGAGAAAATTGACTTGGGCACGACTTCTCCCCTGTATTGATAATTTATCACCAAACTTATTGATACCAGCGTTTTTAATTTAAGGGTGAAAATGTTCCATTTTCACTGGTGATATGGAGGGGTAACAAATACAGATTTTTGTGCTCCCTGCCAAAACCTAAAAGATACCGATTTTGGTTTTTAAATTGTCAAATTCTTATGTGGTAAAATTGTATATTTACCTATAACTTGATTTGTGAGAATACTTCTCAGAGGACTTGGCTACTCCAGTGAGAACAAACCAGTGATGCCTACTTCTTCATTAGAAATTGTGGATTCATTTCTTGGCTTTGGATGCTTTCAGATTACTAATTGCAGTTTTGATTTGTGAACCTTAAAGTGAGTTTCCATTTTGAGGGTTCTCATAATAAAGAATAAGAGCTGTTTCTGGCCACTGTTTCCCCCAAAAAGAGGAGTATGTAGTGTGTGTGTTCTCTGAACTCTGGGCTGAGATCAGTTCTTTGCAGGTGTCTTTAGCTCCAGGAAGCTGATCCCATGTGGTCTACTTGTATTGGGGTTGTCACAATTACATGACTTTCCCCTCAGCAGTTATCCAGTAAATTGCTGTAATTCCCAGAGATTTCATGAGAGGAAAGCAGCTGTAAGCTCAGTCGTTGGCAAGCCTTGCGGCATTAGAAATTTGAAGCTCACTGTAGTATTTTTGTTTTGTGTGATCTTTGTCCTACTGATCACCATGTGACTCACTTTCTGCACTCCCTTCTCTTTTCCATTTTTTTCTCCTCATCTGGACTTCTGAGGACAGCTGGGAATGGTGAGGAAGAGATTCTGCCCCACTGTAACTTGCAGGTTTTTACCTACACCTGTGATGTGGGGAAGAGGGAGAATGTCTACCTGACAGCTGAAAGAGTGCGCAAGGAGGTTGGCGAAGTGTCGGTCCTGGTCAATAATGCTGGTGTGGTCTCTGGGCATCACCTTCTGGAATGTCCTGATGAGCTAATTGAGAGAACCATGATGGTCAATTGCCATGCACACTTCTGGGTAAATATAAACATTCTTGTTTTCTTTGCTGGGCCCTTCTCAGTGAGAAAGTTGGGAAGGAGAGAGACTTCAATGTCAGCCTGAAAGCCACCTGTACTCTTTCACTACCAGATCTCCTTAGCTCTTCCCTGTGGTGAATTGCAGTGTATGCTGGTTACTATTTAGTTGTTTGTCCCCCACCCCCATCCCCAAACTCAGTAGTTTTGAGAGGGCAGAGGATTGAACATTTTGAACTAGTTTGAAAGATTGCCATAAAAATAACAAGAGGGAGCGTAAAACCCTGGGTTTGTTTATTTTACTTTCTGTTGAGTTTATAAAACATTGGTTGTTCTTATGAATTCCTGAAGTCAGGATTTAGGCTTCCAAATTACTGCTCAGCCACATTTTAGAAAGTGCCAGAGATTCTGAAGTCAGCATTTGTGGTCTGTTGGGAGTGGCCAGGCCACCCTGGCAGTCACATCGCATCCCCTGACCATCTATCCACAGGGTCCAGGACATCTTCCTGTTGGAGGACACCTCAGGACTCTCTTAGGTTAGACGGTGTCTTGCAAATATCAACCTGATAGGACTCTAGAGAGGGAAGTAGGGTGATGAAACCTGGTAAGCTGGAGATTTAAACAATGTCCACTTCTAACCACTAAACAACGTCAACATCTACAGAGGGGAACAGGGCCTTCTGCTGCTTTAGGGGCAAAAGTAACCCTGGTTTTTCAGCTCAACTTGTCTTCAGTAAAGGTAGGTGTGACTCTCCCCTATAACCCTGTACACTGCTTACCCACTTTATGCTCTTTTTCCTCGCAGTATTTTCCCTTTACTTTTGTAGACAGGTAAGATTCAATAAAGAAGGAGTAAAGAAATAGGGTTCTACTTTTTTTTTTTCCATAGGCGGATTAGCCTTCTAATAGAACACAGCAAAGAACCGTTTCTCCTAAATAGGTCACATTAAACCTCATTAATTTTTTAGCAACTGCTTAAAAACTTAATCTGGCTTTAGAAGTACTTATTCAAATGTCGTTCCTCAAACATCAAACCTTTTCTCTGCTCTTGGAGGAAGCTTATTTTAATGTTTTATTTCTAAACATAAACTTTATTGTATTTTATTATTTATTTATTTATTTATTTATTTATTTTTGAGATGAAATTTGGCTCTTGTTGCCCAGGCTGAGGTACAATGGCACGATCTCAGCTCACTGCAACCTCTACCTCCTGGGTTCAAGCAGTTCTCTTGTCTCAGCCTCTCGAGTATCTGGGACTGCAGGCATGTGCCACCATGCCTGGCTAATTTTGTATTTTTAGTAGAGACAGGGTTTCACCATGTCAGGCTGGTCTGGAACTCTTGACCTCAGGTGATCTGACCGCCTCAGCTTCCCAAAGTGCTGGGATTACAGGCATGAGCCATTGCACTCGGCCAACATGAACTTTATTTAATTCATTTCCAAACCTCTAGGAATGAATATACAAATGACCTGACCTAACTTATCTATGTTTTAAACAAGCCAGGAACTGAATTAAAGACCTTCGTGTTGCTGGGTCCCCAGGAACAGGCAGCAGGTGTCAAAGGGGTGGGTTAGTTGAGTAAAAGGCAGTTCAACCAAATAAACTTGGCATAGAGTTTATCAATTCCATGTGTGTTTATGATTAATCCTGAGTAAAATAACTACCATTTGAAAGAAATACATACATAAGTGGGAGGCAGAGTGTCATTTTCATATTTGAAGAATGGTAAGGATGAAGCTGCCGTAAAAACTGCGGTTGATTTAAGTCAGCCTTAAACGGTTACAGCACTGTTGGTAGGTTCATTATGAACCACAGACACTGACTGGGATTGCTTTCTCCAGTAACCTTTGACTAAGATCATGCAAGATTACCTAACTCTAAACTTTTACCTACAGCCAGTATTCTGAAGTTTAGCTATCTTGTCTACTTTCTCTGCATGATTGTTTTGCTGAATTGTAAAATTTCAAATGTAATCAAGTTTTTTAAGAAACCCCATACAATCTGCTGTTAAATACTTAAAACAAGAAAGCAGATCCAGGAAGACACTGGATAAAATAAGTGCTAACTTACTGTCTTTTTAATATTAGGCTACTTTTTAACATAAGGAGGAAATCAAATCAAATCTCTAAATAGAAAAATTATTCTGGACCTGAATCTGTATACCAAGAAGCACCTTCCTAGAGTCATCACTGTGCTTTGAGATGTTGCTCAACCACACAATTTAGGGAGTTCTTGGAAGCCTTGATGGTAATGACGTCACTTTGTATTAAAATATGGGAGTCTCCTGAATTCTCCAGCTGTTTTTCCTCTAAGCATCTAAACTTAAGAATTTATTTTCAGTATTGAGTCAGAAAATTCATTTTAGAGTTGGAATTTCTGACTTCTTGCTGAAATTTGCAAATCTTTTGAGAAGTTCTGATTCAGCAACCAAAATTTAAAAGAAAACGCAGTATAATTTTTTTTTTTTTTTGGGATGGAGTCTTGCTCTGTAGCCCAGGCTGGAGTGCAGTGGCGTGACCTTGGCTCACTGCGACCTTGGCCTCCTGGGTTCAAGCAATTCTCCTGCCTCAGCCTCCCGGGTAGCTGGGACTACAGGCACACACCACCACGCCCAGCTAATTTTTTTTTGCATTTTTAGTAGAGACGGGGTTTCAGCATGTTGACCATGATAGTCTCAATCTCTTGACCTCCCAAAGTGCTGGGATTACAGGCTTGAGCCACCACGCCCAGCCAACACAGTATAATTTTTACAGTGAATTTTTTAACGAGTTAAGGAATGTTGTAAGAGCCACCTGAATTCAGCTTCCCTTCCAGTAGTCCTCTTAGGCAAAATGTTGGTGGCAACTTTTCAAAGATGTGTTGATATTGGCATATGCTATTTTCTTTCCAGAAAAAATAATATGAGTGTCTTTTTACTGTATCTGGGTGTGGAAAAGAAGTTACCCCATGCATTTTTAAAAGTCCATCAGCTGAGCAAAGAACTGTTCAGTCATTTGAACAGATCATCCTGAGCCAGATGTTTAAGTAACAGTTAATATCTGTTTTCATAAATAACAAATAGTATGTTCATCCTGACTCAGAGCAAAAGTGAGTGAAATAGAAAACCATGTGGACTTTCACTGAAAAGCTGTGGGCACTCCCAAACCAGTCTGCATACTATTCCCCCTACCTGAAACACCCTCCTCCATTCCACGTGTCTTTTAAGGCTTAGCTGAAGTTCTCAATATAACCTTTCCTCCCTGCTGCAGCACTTCTGGCCTTTTTGGATACTAGAGTTTGTAAGAATCCAGAGACCTTTTTGTTTTCCAGTGAAGCAGGGGTTAAATGACTTGTCTAAGGTTTTTCTTTTCTTTCCATTAATCTGTCACAGGATTTGTTGTCATTCTCCCAAAGTACATGGCAAGCTGTCTGAAGGCAGTTTGTTGTATACATCTTTCGTTTTCCTCTGCCTGGAACAAAACTCTGTTCTTAAGTCACTCAATAAATGTTTGATAATAATAGGCTTAAATGTTTAGAAGATAACCTATTCAGATAATACTCACATGGGTGTATATTCTGAGGTTTTAAAGGTAAGCATTATGGTCTGGGCGTGGTGGCTCATGCCTGTAATCCCACAACTTTGGGAGGCCAAGGCAGGTGGATGACTTGATGTCAAGAATTTGAGACCAGCCTGGCCAACATGGAGAAACCCTATCTCTACTAAAAATACAAAAAAAATAGCCGGGTATGATACTGTGAGCCTGTAATACCAGCTACTCAGGAGGCTGAGGCAGAGGTTGCAGTGAGCAGACATCGCACCACTGCACTCCAGCCTAGGTGACAGAGTGAGACTGCATCTCAAAAAAAAAAAAAGGAAAAAGGTGAGCAATATGTTGGACTAAAGCTGTGTAAGACCATTATTGCAAAACAGGGTTGGCTTATATTTTCTTTTGCTTTCCTGCATAACTTTTCATTCTCCCTGTCCCACAGGTGTTCTCATTTTTACTGTAGTGTATTAGAACTCTGCTCATTGGTGTGAGGCTAGTGACTCTGAGAAGGGTGGTGTTGGTATGCCAATTTGAATCAAGCTCACATTGAATGTGTAACAGCCATTTATATTTACCAGTGATCAACCCTCAAAAAGAGAACCCCCATAGCAATTCTTTCCTTTCTTCTTAGCCACGTACCATTTCTGTACCCTTTGGAAGCCTTTCCTCAGCGTGGCATAATTCTATACAGCCTTCCAGTCTGTTGTGACACTTCATCTTCCAATGTTGTTCCATCACCAGTAGCTCTCCTAGGAAGCTTCTCCTGGTCAACAGTCAAGAAGTGATAGATTTGGGGTAGGTTCTAGTCAGCACAATCTACTGTGAAACACTCAGTACAAGACCATGGAAAATGAATGCACTATCATGCACTTTCACACTAGCATAGAAATTACTCATGTGGGCTTTCCGTATCTGGGTGAGATGTAAAAATTTGAAAGATACCTCTCGGGCGGGGCATAGTGACTCAATCCTGTAATCCCAACACTTTGGGAGGCCTAGGAGGGTGGATCACTTTTACCCAGGAGTTCAAGACCGACCTCGGCAACATAACTAAACCCTGTCTCTACCAAAACACAAAAATTAGCTGGATGTGGTAGCAGCATGTGCCTGTAGTCCCTGCTCCTGAGGAGGCTGAGGTGGGAGGATGGCTTGGACCCAAGCGATGCAGATTGCAGTGAGATCACAACACTGTACTCCGGCTTGGGTGACAAGAGCCAGACCCTATCTCAAAAGGAAAAGAAAAATACTTCTCTGTATTCTACTTTGAAATATGGAGCGCTGGTCTCCATGCAAACCCATGCTTCCCTCAAAATATTAACATTGCTTTACTTGTTATTTTTTAAGAGGAGTAGAATCTAAGCTCGCTATTTCTAAAAGCCAAAGTTTATGTGTAGATCCTTTTTTGACCAAAGAGCTGCATTTGGCCTTTAAACGTGAGCAGCAAATTGATTCCTGCTTAACCAAAAGGGGGAAGCAAAAGCATTTACCTCCAGGCCTTTTATGTTCTGAAGAATTTTTGCATGGTAAAGGACTAAATCTGTCAAATAGCTAGTAGGTAATTTACTTCTATTGATATGGTAGTCAGACAAGATAATTGGTAGTTAATTAATAGACCACTTAACTTAAAAGGTTTCACAGTTTTAAAATACTAATTACTGAATTAAGCATTTATCTATATCCAAATGTCTAAAGTCTATTTAGTTAAAATCTATCCAGGAAAAGTAAAAGCCCACCAGCTAGATCTGAGTAATGTAGCACTTAAAGACATTAGTGCTATGGTTGTACCTAATATCTCATGAATGGTCCCTAATCATTAATGTTTAGGTTCGTATGTGATTTACTGGTTTTTAATCGCACATACTGCATTATTCTGTTCTCTGGTTAGAGAAACCTAGTTTGTTCAAGGCTTCTTAGATTTAGAATTTGAAAAATCATTTCTAAAGTATTCATAAAAATATTTGGCCAGTATTTCTTCCTCCTGACCATAATAACTGTAAGACAATAAAGAGTATTGATTCCCTATCTTAAGCTGGCCACTAAACACTTGGAATTCACAGCCCATTTTTAAAAGTCTCCACTAGGACTGGTTTCTGTTATTAAATATATGTCATAAGTATTAAAATGTTTGAACTTTAGAAGTACTTTCAATGTCTTAAACAGAGTTTTAATTTGACATGGGGTAAGCACACTTTGTCTTATTCTTGTAGTCACAGTTGAAAACTGAGTAAAACATCTCTTTTGTGATAGCAGCGGCTTGATACCTGGGACTGTGTACCTATATGCAAAATAGGATCACATGCTCATTGAACTCTGAGTTTCTGTATTTGATATCTTACATGCTGGGCCCAAATCTACTGCTACTAGAAATCAAAATCTATGACATGATAAAATATCACTTAACGCAGCTGTTTTGAATAGGGGACCAGATGCTGTATCAGATAAAAAGTTCCCCAACATCTTCGATGTGTTCTAATCTATGTCTGTTTATCTCAGTTGTTTAAAAAATACTGCTTAATAACCAATGTTGTAATTTCTAACCTGAATGAAAAAAAAATAGCAATGCTCCCCTCATTGCCAAATCCTGTGTGTAGCTTTGTCTTTCTATAGAATGTGACCCTCTTGACCGTCTCCTTGAAACTCAAGTGCTTTAGCTTCCATGATAAGCCCACTTTGTCCTGCTTCTCTGTCTGCCTTCAGAATCCTTTAAGCCTCCCCACCTCTGAATTGTAATGACTGTTTAGTATTGTATGCTCAGACCTCTTTTCACTCGGAACCTCCAGGTAGCTAGGTAATCTATTTCAGTGACTTCAACTGTGATTTCTAGGATAGTTCTCAAGTTCATACAACTACCTTGACTGCTCCACACACACTCTTAAAGCAGCATGTCACAAAACTGAACAAACTCCTCTTTCTTTGCTCCTTTTTATGGTCACCAGGCTTAGAAACATCAGCATTATGTTCACCTGCTCAGCCTGCACACATTCATGGGTCCCCAAATCCCAACTATTCTCTTGCCCCACTGTGTTCCAATATATCCCTCCTTTCCTTTCCTATTTCCTCCTGTGGGCCTCCATCACCTCTTGCCTGGACTCTTAAAAGTGCCTGTGATCCTCTTTTTCTGTGTTCATTTTTTGCTTTCCAACCTAGGGTCATCTAAGCAGCCTTGAGTTTATCTGCCTGCTTCAAACCCTTGTTTGACCATATTGTTCACAGCGTGAAGTCCAGGCTCATTAGCATGGCATCCCGGGCCTTACAAAGCTGATTTCCACCTGCTTTTCCAGGTCAGAACCTATTTTATCCCCTCATCTACTGTAAACTTCAGACGGGCTGGACTCTTCACTGTTCCTGGGGAGAGCCTTGCACATTACACTTTACACACGAGCCTCTGCTTGGCTGTTCTGCTATTTGAGTCTTGTTTTACTTGAAGACAGCAGAAGTTGAATAGTTCAGAAAAAATCTATCACTACTCCTGAGAAAGAAAAGCACATATTCAAAATATTTTCATGTTCACTTAATAATATCTTTATATATTAAGGTGGCAGTCCCTGTAAAATAGCCATGAAATTCTTGGCTCAGGGAATGGCCCTTTCTTGTTTGATCATGTAGTGAGTTGTGCCATTTATCTCAATTCCTGGAAGGAAGCAAAGTCGGTATTTGTTCTTTTCTGCCTCATTATCTCTACATCCCAGGCTTTATCCATTATCTGCCCAAATAGAAATTAATCTATAGGATATGTCAAAGTGGAAGCATTGTGTAGCCCATGCTAATGCTAATACTAACTGAATAGCTTTCTCAAAAAGACTGAATGCAGAGTGCCCCGGCTGAGTCTTTAGCCATTCATTGCGGTATTGGGTCATTATGAACCCTATAGTTAATACTTAACTGCTCACACTCTGCTTATTCTCTTCTCTTACATTTGTTCTTACTCTGATCTTGCTTCAGATTTTCAAGATCTTTGGCAAATTCTAGTGAATCGGATTTAGTAACTTGAATATATCTAAGCCATGACAATCAGAAAATTTAATAGCCTCACTTGAGAGTTAGAAGAATTTTAAGTACGAAACTCCTTTACATTTAAGTTTTTTCTTGAGTTGAGAAATATTAATAGCAAATTTATCTAAAATTTCTGCTTTCAGAAACTAAAATTAACCTGTTTCAATTATGATAAGTAGTCTATTTGCATGTGTCTAACCCAGAGATTTACCTACGTGGATAAATGTACAGATGACATGGTATGTTTGTTTGCTTGTTTTTGTATGCTCAGTAATAAGTAGAAGACGTGACTATGGTGCAGCTACAGTCACTGGACCTGGGAAAGTCCGAAATACCCAGGATGTTTTTGGACCCCCAAACTTGTACTATGCTGAAGTTCCACTAGGGGGTGTACTGGCAGGGTGGATTTGTATCTTATTTCCTGCACATAGAACCAGTGTTTTCTGGAGAGAAAGGGCCTTTTGTAACTAATCTTTGGAGTATGACAAAATCTAATAGTCCTTAAGAAATAGAGAACTATTTCCTGCCTCAGCTGAATGGGTTAAGTCCAATGTTTTGAGCCTGTAACTCCAGAGATCAGATTAAAATGTGTTAATCTTTCTTATCAGAAGCTAGTATGGTAGTTAGCTATTCAGAGAACTAACATGTCTAGATTCTATCACTGACCTAGAAGCTCTTTAGGACATATAGACATAATTGGAAAATAACTCAGAATTCTGATTCTTTCTAAAGCATACAGCTGGTCCCCATAATAGGTGGCCTTTGGAAACTTTCCTGTATCATGAATTATCATTCTGGGAAGATACCATGGTTCAGAACCTAGGCTGGCAGAGCATAGCCTAGGGATTCAGTCACATTTGCCTTGACATTACCTGGCTGGCCAGTTTCAGCCAACTGCATCCCTGGGTTTACACAGGTCTATGCCATCTCACACTGAAGGGGATTCGAAGGCACGGACACCTTTTCATCTGGTCTGAAGGAATGCTAACGTTTTTTTATTTTAAGAGCTTCCCCAGTGTATTTCATTCTTGAATTTTTTTCTTCTTCTTTACTTTATTTGTCAATTCTCTTAAAATTCAAGTTCACATCTGTCAAGGACCATTTTCCTAAATGCTCTGAAACTAGAATGAAGTGAGCCACGGGAGAAAAAATGAATATCCTCTTATAATCATCATAAAACTTTCAGCACTGCAGCAAATGCTGCTAGAATATTTAACAAGTAAGGGCAATTACTGCCGCAACCTTGAGTGCTGTCAAATTAGCCCCTTACAATGACAAGCCACTTACAATGAATTCACATTTGGAAACAAAACATTACTTGGTCTGTGAAACTTTCAAAGATCACACAAAGATGTGTGAAAAGTAGCAGTGGTGTTAACATTGTGTTTTTTGGTTTTGAGAAAAACCACAAGTGTTTCTTATATGCTGCTTGCATAACATGTGACTTTCTTGCCTTTCCTTCAAATTGCTTAGTACTGGAATTTTTGAATATTAACATGGTTCTGCCTCTTAGTGTTATCCTGAACAATAGGGCTCAAAATAACGTAAGTGTAACTTATGTAAACACATGGGTATTTTGAGGACCAGTGAAACTTAAAATTCAAAGCCTGAATTTTCCCACCTGCAAGTTGTAATTAACATACCGCCCCCTACTGATTTCTTAAGGGTTTTTTATATGGGCTAGTTCTACAGTCTCTTGGGAAAGAGAAGTATAAGGTATAACAAATTATTCTTTTTTCTTTTTTTATAACAAATTATTTTTTAATGATT